AGGGGTTTTAGTGGAAGCCGTGGCCTGTCGTGATGAGTTTTCTGCTGCCCAGACTGACCTGTAAGAGGGAAGTGGATCAGGCAATAAAAACCGTGGCCGAGAAGGTTTTGGTTCTCCGGTTTGGAAGAGATAACGATGCTGTTTGTCTGCAGCTCGATGATATTGTAAGAGAATTTTTTTTTAATATTTTTGATAAACTCTATTAGTATTCCTGTTACATACAAGATAATGTCGTATGTTGCTTTTGGGTAATATGGTGTCTCATTAAAATTTTGGTGACAAATGTAAAATGAAATAATACTATATTCATAAAAGTTTTGAGAATTAATCAAATGTTGATGTTATTGTAATGGGTGTACAAAGTGCTTGAAGTAGAAAAGACATGCTATTCTAGCTCTGCTTAAACTGGTAAAACATAAGGGAAATGGGCTTTGTAAAGCTTGACACCCTTTTTCCTCTTGTGTCTCAATCCATTTGTCGTCCGTCTTTCTCACTCTTTACAGCTTGCAAAGACAGCTCATGACCTAAGTAACATGGCAGTCATTTACCTGGTGGATGTGAACAAGGTTCCAGTGTACACACAGTATTTTGACATCAGTTATATTCCATCTACTGTATTTTTCTTCAATGGGCAACACATGAAGGTTGATTATGGGTATGTCATCCTACCTGGCATTACCTGTTGTGTCTGTGAGGATTATCAGCCTGATTCTATGTTACTGTGTTGGGGGAAGGTAATGTTTGAAAACAATATTGTTGTTACCAGCATTTGCATTGAGAACTCTCTAGGAAGCCAGAAGGATGTAAAATTAAGAAGTATTTTGAAATATGCTCTGAAGCAGCAAGTAGGTGTCAGCTGCAAAACATGCCTGACTGCAAAAAATAGCATGGTTAAAGTCTTAGACATTACACTACACCTTTTTGGACGCTGGGTGTCACAGTATATTCCTGACTTTGTTATGCCGTTACAAGTGTGGTTCATTCTTTCAGAATGGCCAAATCAGAACCCTCATTTAATTGTACATCTTTTCACGTCTTTAAGTGTTTTTGCTTTGAACACTTTAACATTACAATTCTACCTTTATCTTCTGCTTCTATTTAGATCTCCAGATCATACCAAATTTGTAGGAAGCTTCAAAACAAAGCAAGACTTTATAGATCTGATTGAAGTGATTTACCGTGGAGCAATGCGTGGAAAGCTCATTGTGAGAAGTCCTATTGATCCCAATAACATTCCTAAATACGACCTTCTCTACCAAGGAATTTAGTGGGTTGACCTCAGATAAAGAATTGCAAAAATGGCTGATATTCTAGATCCCTTTTTGTCTTCAAGCATTTTTAGTCATCTCTGGCACTGTGGGACAGTTTGAGCATTTATGTTGAAGGACCATATCGGTCTCCTTCTGAAGAGAGACATTCTGTCACCTCATACTTCTATCGTAAATAAAGCTACGTGTTGACGCGTAGAATTCATGCAAGTGACTATTCTTTGAGTTGCATGCTGACCAGCACCTACAAAACAGGCAGGTTGTATGCATCCTCAATGACGGCATCTCCAGTGCAACTTTCTTAAGTGAACTAAAGCGCCATATAGTCTATAATTGTCTCTTTAGTGCCATCTTCATTCATATGCAATAACAGTAAACCTAGCTTTATTTAAAAAGCTATGCTTGGTGTCAAGAGCATTCAACTGACTGTACCTTTCCAATGGAATTTTACAATTCTACCCATTACTGGATAACAAGATGGAAGCTTTTTCAAACTGTATGAGAGATGACTGAAATCTGAAACAGATATAAAAACAAAAGGGAAGTCAACACACTTTTCTCTGGTACCCAGTATTACTGTTCAACAGGTCTTTTGACTGAGACGGTAATTGAGGGTACAGGGCAAGGTTTTGTTGTCCCTCAAAGCTCTTTTGCAGCCATTGAGTGTTCTTAATTCCCACAGGATTAAACTGGAAATTCAGAATAACCATTTTGTTTACATGCACTTTAAAGGTTATTTGACCACCTGCTTGTATAAATTGCAAACCTTGAGTATAGACATTTAAAAACTGTCTCTATTTCCCACCTGTGTCTAAAATTAAACAGCTGAGAGAAAACAGCAATGTCATTCTTTTGCATCAGTTTGGTAATTGCAGGTTGCTAGAGTATTGTATTTCTATAGCAGCTCATAGCCAGTAATCTCACTGGTTTAGTTGGCTTTAAAATGGAAATTACTTTAGCTCATTCTAGCAGTTTGGGGCATATAATCTCTGACTGGAGGAAAGGTAGTAGTGTGTAATTCCCTGAAGTATTGTTCAGCTTAGCAGTAAACATTTCAAGTAGGAAGGTGGATGCTCCAGCTCTTGAAAGATTTTTAAATGCTATATGGTATAGAGTAAGAAGGAAATGGATCCTTTACATGCTTTTTATATTCCAGATTTGTCCTTTTAATGAAAACTATGCACTTAAGAGAGTGTTTTACTGATAGTTTAGTCTGATTATAGAGCCATAACTGCAGAATGTTTACTTAAAAAAAAAGGATATAAATGAGAGTTGATACACCTTACATCTTTATTTTGTGCAAAATTAAATTTCACAGATAGCTGAAGGGTTGTGGCCTAAAGCTTTCAACAATGCACTTCTTTCCTAATAGTTAACTTGGATATGTATTTTTTTCAAAAACAAACAAACTAGCTTCAAACTTAGAACTGTAAGTTGCTCCACAGTGAGAGGAAGGTCCTTAGATGACTGAAAGGTGTGGGGCAATTATAAAAGGAAGAGGCCGCTATCCAGAACAAATCAGTATGCCTTTATTTATTGCCTCTCTTCTTACTTGTGCTGCTTCTGGTTGCAATGGGTGAATGCCTAAAGGCTGTTGTGGTCTTGGCTTTCAGCGTGCTCTTCAGGTACTTAAAGATGGCATGTAAGCAGCAGGAGGGTGCTAAATCATACTTCTCTGTTCCAGCAGAGACAGTAGGACAATTTGCTTTCATGAGAGAACCCACAGCTTTATCTAGAGGCTTACTGTTTGACACCCACTCACGGCAGTACTTCTGTATCCATTCTTGCATTTGCGGATCGCTTCTAGTCTGGTGCTGTGTGTTGTGCATGGAGTCGATGAATGCCACAGAGTACACTTGATTCATTACCTCCCATTTTCTCTGCACCAGCAGATCAATGAACACCAAACCACCATAGCCATGGGCAACGAAGGCCACATTCTTGGCTGCACTCTTTGAAATGAAATGATCCCATACATACATGGTATGTTCCTCGGGGCTGCTGCTGCCCCTCTTGGGAATCCACCAGATGGACTGCATAGAAGTGAGTGATTCTTCCCTTTCCTTTTCAGTCTTCAGATCAACAAAGTTGTCATTGGGATTCAGTACAATCACTCCGCCGTGGCTTTGAAGGGCCATTTTGATGAACGGTATTTGTGTTCCATGCTCCAGTCCCTCGTTGACAATCGTCTTTCGCCCCCACTGCCCGGCATGGAAAACTCCACGGTCTTGGAGAAGGACAACAAGGCTAGAGGAACTTGTTAGTGCATTCTCACTCATGAAAAAGAAACTTCTTGGTTCATCCCCTGTAGCATCAGTAGGAATATAAACTTTCTGCAGCATGCAGACTCTTTCCAGGAGCTCATAAACATATTGGGTAATCAAATGTCCCAAAATTTGATAGCGTTTATGATTCCGCTCTTGTGCATTCTTGTAATAATTGAAAACAAAGGACTCATTTGTATCCAGATGCCTCAGTTCCCCTTTTATATTGAAGTCATACTTCAGTTCCTCTTGAAAGTCTGAACCCTCTATTAGTTTCCTCAGGCTTAGTTCATGCTGCATTTGTAACCACTACAAATGAAGAATACTATGTCAATGTAGTCATAGACCTCCATGCAACACCTACATGACAAAAACCTATTATATCAGAATTTGAATTTAAAAGTGGTTACAAACAAAATACTCAGTGATATAGACTAACTTTGGCAGTCTGTAGTAAACCATCTGCTTCTAAAGCCTCTCAGGTTTCCACTGCTGAATTCCAACAGCAGGGCATTAATACTCACCTCTGCAGTTATTTGTTCATCCTTGCAAGCACTTGCCAGACGTGGAATGGAAATTTTGGCATGGATGACAGAATAAGCTAGCCACTATGATCCAGGAACAGGAGAAAAGAAAGTCCCTGCAACAAACTTTCATGATACTAGATTGAGGTCTGTAGTTTCAGCTTAGGATAATTTTTCAACTTGTATGACTGATCAGCTGATAAGAATTATACCAGGAAGTGGTTTCCATGGAATTTAAAAATTAAGCATATTGTAACCTTCTATTTTCCTAATAACTCTTCAGTCTACTATTGTCACTGGCTGTAGAATGGTAAACATGGGGTAACCTTTGGTGTGGCGAGAATCCTACTTTTATAGGATTCTTTTTTCTAATAGCAGATATTTGCAAGCACTGAATTCCCAGAATTATCAGTGTTTTTAAAAATAATTTATAATCTTAACACAGTAATTTTGTTTTGGCAGATAGTTTATATGAAGTTACGTTTGGCAGATCCATTGGTACAAGCTACTATATACCTTTAGATTTTTTCTTGCTGAACTAACAGAGGTTTTTAGAATAGAGTAAATCACATTCTGACTATGTTTAAGCTCACTATACTGTCTGATAAAGCTGATTACTAGGACAGAAAGTGATTTGAAATTTTTCATGTAAGTGAGTTGAGTTGGAGCCCAACTCCGTTATGGAATGCAAGTTTTCTTGAGTAAGCTACTTAGCATATTGAAATTTTTTCTTGCACTTCCAAATTTAAAAAAAAAAAAGTTATTTGCTCTTCAATGGAGCGGCAGCATATACATTTCCCTTTTGAGCAATCTCCACTGGGTCAGAGACATTGAGTCATCTCTTCAGGGTCATTCCTGTCTTCTGATTCATAGGGAGTAGGCTAGGAAATGCTCCCTTCTTTTTTAATCTCATGTAATAAATACACATAGAAAAGGGAAAAAAATCAGATTCTATGATATATAAACCATTTACTGTCTTGTCAGTTTCTTAGAATGGAAGCAACACAAAGAAGTTGCAAGCACATGCATTCATCTATGATTTTTTCATTCTGTGGGAAGGCATGAAAGACACAAAGGAGATGGGAGGACATGTGTTTGCTATTCTACTGAAATATGAGCAATTCACACAAAAGAGGTCATATTTAGCAGAGAGGAAGCTGCCCATATTTATTCCCCGCCACCCCCCCCCATGCAAATGCAAGGAAGCAGGAGAAAAATTGAGATGGTTTACAGAAGGATGTCTGTGGAGAAAGGTGAAGCACAGAGGAAGCATTCCATAACAGTTAGGAATAGGTAAATGCAGTTTCCTCACAGAGTGGCATGCTGTCCAACACTTCTCTCTGTCCCTTTCTCTCCTCACCCCTAAAAGGCTGGACACTATAGTTTCCCAACATGCTATGAACAGTGAGTTACTATACTCTTACTTCAGCTACTAGCAACAACATTGCTTTTCCAGTTCCAAAACAAAACAAGGGTACATGATTCCAAATTAAAAACTGTGTACCTAATGTTGAATATCTACTTCAATATCTATTTACAAAGCATTATGAAAAGTTTCTGAAGATTTCAGGAAGCATAAACAGAAAAATACAGTTTTACTTCAGGCATAGGTATGGCTTCCCTTCCTAAAATTACCTTCACAGTGTGAACTGGAAAGTTTTATAAAAATTTATAGTAGGTTATCACTAAAGAGTTTACTTGAATAGCATCTCAGAATCATATACTGTCTTGGTGTCAGGACCACCAC